AGTTATATGAAGTCTCTCTCTCTCTCTCTCTGGCAGTCTGAGGTCTATTAGCGACTCAGAGGAAGGATATGGTTTCGTCACTAGACTAGAAAGCAGGTGATCTGGGTTCAAGTCTCGGATCTGTCATGGACTCACGGTGTGATCTCGGGCAAGTGACATCAGGCCATGTGTTCAGCTCCTGTTGTCATGCTTCCAGACAGACTTCAAAGAGTTTGGACTCCCCGCTGGCTGGGGAGTGGAGAATGAAACTCCCAGCTCGTGGCTTCTCTTGCCTTGAACCCTGAAAGCGGTGACTCTAAAGGGGTTTTTTTTTTGCATCTGGACAATGTAAAACAAACACCTGGGGCAGTTGCGAGTAGCCTAGTTGTATGGCAGATTATCACTGGTCATCGAAAGATGATCTGGATTTATGAGCAAGCCTCTTGAGTAGTTAATTGATCACTCATTTATAATGGGGTGGAAAATCCCCATCATAAATAAGTGGGCCTAGAGCAGGACTCAAAACAAGAGAGAAAAGAGAAAGGAAAGCCAGCTACAGGGAATCTTGATTATGTGCATAGAAAGACAGGGTGAGCTAGGCAAGGACAGTCCATATAATAGTAGTACCTGGCTTCTTATTTATGAAGCCCAGAGGGACCTCAGAGAGCTCTTAAGCATTAACGGTGTCAGAGTGAGCTTCCCAGCAGGCCTTCACCTGCAATAGTTTTAACTGAGTCAGGGGACCTGATACTAACATTGTTCCAATGTGTAGTCTAGATAGGACCTTGCCTTTGCCCCGTTTGGACATGCCCATAAACACACACCCTTGCACAGAATCTCTGCTTCTGGGAGCACATTTCTCTGGCTCCAGTCTGGCTCCATGCTTGGGAACAAGCATAGGAGAATCATGCTCTGGCTACTGACTATTTTCCTAACATTTCCCACTGGTGGCAGCAGCAGTGGGAATACTAGTTTGCAAGAGGCACCACTGGCAGCTGGCATTTAACCACCTTGCCATCAAGACCTGCTCCAAGCAGGATTAGTGACACAATAGTTGGAACACATGCCTTTAACCTAAGAGTCTCACTGGAATTAGCAGTGGGAGTCGAACCTACAGTAGCAACAGTGGGAAATTTTAGGAGAAAGGGGAAAGAATAAAACCTTAGTGATTATCCCCCACTCCTGTTCTGAAGGAAGAACGGGACCTTGCTCTCCAGTGTGCTCTCCAGCCACAACACAACTAATTTTAGATGCACCCACTTTGCAAGTATCATTAAAAACAGGCATGTAGAACCCAAGAGATCCAGTTAGAAATGTCAGAAAGGGAGCCAGCCAGACTTGGAGGTAGTGTCCCTTTCCAACAGCAAACTAGAGTCCCAGGCTTCATCTAGACTCCGATTTTAAAAGGTGTGTTGTTGGAGCATGTTAGGTAAAGTTCTAAAAGTGTAGCCTAGGCGAGGCAGCATAAGCTTTAACACATGCTAAACTAGTCGAATAATCACCAAGGCTCCTCCTAATTCAAACAACACGCCTTTAAATTCTAGCCTAGATAAAGACCTTGTCCACATGGACAACTGCGTCGGTTCACGTAAATCCAATTTAAAAGCTATTTAGATGAATTGGTGCAAACCCCTGTGTAGACTCTGATTTCAGTTTAAGAGTGATTTATTTAGGTTTATCTTAAATCAATTAGGATTAGGTTTAGGTTTAAGATTAAATTAACGAAACCCTTCTTAATTCGAAATAAAAGAGTATCCATTTAGGTGTTTGCATCGGTTTAAGCAAAATAGTGCATGTTTGTATATACACAATATCTGCACTTGAAGTTTTTTAACAAATCATCCTCTGATGAGGAAAGCTCCCCTCATGATGTAGAAGCCACTACTCCATTTTGCTGAAGAAAAGCTTACATTTGTATAGGGCTACAACAAAAACAATGCGCAGACAGCAACAATCTAATCTATTTCCCAGAGCTGTGTGGACAGATCCTGGGCTCACAAACCAGGATGCAATGAGACAAGCCATGTTAATTTTCAACGTTTAAAAGCAACACAAAGTCTTTTTAAAAAATAAAAAATTGTTTGCTGAGGTAGAGGAGACCAAACTTGTTAGCACAGGTGGGAAATTTTCTTTTTTCCCCAAAAGGTTCTTAGAGGGAAACAATGGAGAAAAACCAGCACTTGACCCTGTCCCTTCAAAGTTACTTGTCAAGGACAAGATTTGCATTTGCTAGCACGTATTTAGGCATGAGATCATAAAGAGTCTAAGTGCCAGATTCACTCCCAAGCAATCCCAGTGAGAATGATTTTAGCCTCAAACATGTACAGGCCTGCAGATGAGAAATGGGCAGCAGAACCATTGCCGGATTGGGGGTCTACGTTTGCAGTTATAGAGGTATGGCCGGGTTTCCATTGACTTCGCTGGGTGCAAGAGTCTGCATTCACGGCCCCATCTGGATCAGTGCAGATGCCAGGGTCCAGCCACACTGATCAGAATCAGGGCTTTGAGCAAGTGCAGGCCTTTGAGCTAGCCTCACCCCACTTACTGTTTAAGATGAATCAGAAACTCAGCAGGTCATTAAATAAACATCACTCCCACCCCCCAATAAAAAAGGTACACGCTTCACATCTGTAAACGGAATGCAATATCCATTTCAGTTCTTGCTCTGATGCTAGAAGACTTCTAAACGCATGCATTCCCCCAAACCAGCAGTCCACAACGGGGGTCATGGCTTCCCTCCACATAAAGTGACAGGTAGGTGGCTCGTTTGACTCTCATTTACCCACTGGTATCTCTCTATGTGACAGAATATAAATATATAATTCAGTATTCTGTAAATAGTTCAACAAGAAGCAGTATGTTTTATATACTTATAAATAAATAATGGAAGTTGGAACTCAAAAGTTAACTGTAGCATGCACTACCAGCTACAAATATTCAACAAACCCTATTTATGTTGAAAGATCAATTTGTCCATCAGGGTTTAGGCTTAACACACTAAGGCCCCAATCCTGCCAACACTTATGCTCGTGGTTAACTTTAAGCATGTGAGTAGTCCCAACATTCACAAAGCAAGGTGCCTAAGGTTAGTCTCCTAAATCCATGTTTAGGTTCCGGAATAAGAGTGGTCTAGTTTTCAGCCTTTCCAAGCATCCTCAGCCTTTGAAGCCAATGGAGCTGGGGGTGCTCAGAACCTCTATAACCCAATCTCTGTTATTTAGGAGCCTAGATATGGATTTAGGAGGCTAACTTTATGCATCCAGGTTTGAACATTTTTCTCTGCTTTCTTTATATGTATTTTATTTTAAAGAGAATGCATGCATTCAGAACAAGTTAGCACTTAACATATGGCAAGACCATTGGCTTCCTGTCCCCAAAGCTGCATGAGAACAGGCAGTATATGAAGAGGTATTATGGAAAAGGAAGCCACTGGTTGCATTATATTTCACTTCAAAGCCTGCAGCTCTTTCAGAAATTTAAATAAACTGACCTTTGTTACTCAACTATGGCTTAATGATAGAATCCCCAGCACAATTTTGAACTACTTAGTCATAAAAAATGGTTTATTATTTTTACAAAAAACTCACGAATATACTTGATTTTGTCTTCATGTCCCTTTTGTATGTTTAGCACAATACAATGGAGATACAAGGCCCTGTCTTGAGTCCTTTTTTAACAGGTTTATCCCCATTCTGTGGCCCCTTGAAAGAGGGATTTTCATTATAAGCAGCATCAGAAATGAATACTTGGCAAATTAATTTAGTAATTGGCTTCTATTCACTGGAGCTAAGCAGGATTCACTGTGCTTGAAATAAACTGATTCTCTTCCCCACTCCCCTTCCTTTTCCCTTCCATTGTCTTTAAGCACATGGCCAATCGACTGTGTATGTGACATGTGTTAGTTAAATTTCATGAAACTATATACAATTAAGGGAGGGGGAAACGCAATACAAACTAGGTTTAGAACAAAAGCCTCTTGAAATAATTGATCCAAGCTCAGCCTGAGTAGGTCCAAGAAAGGATTCTTCTTCTAATTAACCACATTACATACAAAGAGCATTTACCATCTGCTAGCTATTAAAACCACAACATCTCTTGCAAGAAAAAGAAAAAGAAGGGGGGGGGGAGTGAGAGAGGAATCAGACTAGGAAAACAGCAGAAAAGAAATAAAAAGTTTCTAAAACTAAACTGAAAAGATTTCTATAAAATTATTTTGAATTGTATTAAAGGTAGTTTGATATTTAAAGACAACTGAGATTTTTTTTTTTTTTGGTAAAGGAAAATAAAAAGCAGCAGTATAAGCAAATGTAATTTGGCGGTTGGGGGGAATTGGATTCCAAAGGTTTGCTGATCTTTATTAGCCACAACAGAAGCTAAATGCTTCAAGAGCAACACCATGTTCAGCGTTGTTTTTAATGGAAGCTGTGAATGAATTGGCTCATTCACACAGCTAGTATTAAACAAATCCTAGTAATTGTTTAACAATATTAAAATTAACCATATTCAAATTCTTACTATCGACTCCAATCACAAATGGATGAAGGGGAAAAAATCTCAGATCGACATGAATAATTAAATTTAACAATGTGAGGAGGAAATATATACATATGAACTTAATAAAGCTGGAAAAATTAATCCCTTTTGGATAGTGGTTCACCTTGCTTTGACTTCATCAAGGATCACTAGCAAGGCCAGCTTTAAACACACACACAAACACAAAGAGGAGAGTGGGAACAAAGCCTGAGCTTACATCTCACATACTTCAGCAGATCTCTCCCACTCCAGATCTCTAAGGAAATGACAGCCTTTTTTATCTCTTTAAAATATCTTTGGATTTTGTTTACAGAATCAGTCTGCCTTTATAAATAGGAACAGCTTCCCACCCCACCAATGTAATACAATGAACTTGGGCATAGCTGGTGTCCATGTGGGGAGGGAAACCACTTTCTCTCAACACAAGGAGACTTTGAGTGCTAGCGCACACACACAACCAGCACACGCACACACACCCAGCTACTCACCGTTACACCACTGAAATGGGTGCATCAATGAGTCCCAAAGTCCTGCAAGGAAAAGAGAAATAGAGAAGAGGATCCTTTCACTTGCGGGGATGGGGAGTTTAGCAGCACTCGAAAGAGCTCTCTTCTCACTACCAGCAGTCCAGAAAACAGGCTTGATGGGTTTGTAAGTGACAAAAGAAAAATCCCAGAGCAAATAATGATAGAACTGCAGAGCAGGAAAGTTGATGGTTTGGGTAACAGGGGCCTATTAGTTTGCTAGATCCTACAGTTGCAATTTACAAGCAGCTCCTGCTCAGGGATTGTCTCCTATTCTCTGATACATTTGTATAAGGCTTAGAGTGACAAGAAGCAGCCTCCCCCCGCCCCCCCCAGCTTGGTAGCCACACACATAACCAATCACAGCCTGAGCTGCTTGCCTCATTAACATACTTTCCTTTTAAAGGTTGAGTGTGATAGGCTGGCTTTGAAGCGTCTCTCCAGCCTATGGCTTTCAGACAACAGGCAACGTGTGCTTTTCTGCATATGTACTTAGCTAATACAATGTAACTTTAATTTTATTTTTGAAAGCCTGTTAGTGAACTCAAACACAGCTGGGTTTGTCTTTCATAGGTGTGAGGGTCATCAAAGAGTCCTCCAAGAGTTAATGATTAAAGATGCATTTTTCTACAAGGAGCTAGTCTGCTTTTTAGGGCATATACATCCTAAAAAGTAGAATAGCTCCTCTTATTCTCTTTGAAGGTCACAAATTACAATAACAACAAGGAGTCCGGTGGCACCTTAAAGACTAACAGATTTATTTGGGCATAAGCTTTCGTGGGTAAAAAATCTCACTTCTTCAGATGCATGGAGAAGAAGTGAAGTTTTTTACCCATGAAAGCTTATGCCCAAATAAATCCGTTAATTTTTAAGGTGCCACCGGACTCCTTGTTGTTATTGTGGATACAGACTAACATGGCTACCCCCTGATACTTGACAAATTACAATACTTCTTAGCATTTACACCAGGCTTTATACTGTCACAACATTGTGCTAACATGACACTAATTAGACCTCACTGTACCCCTAATATGTAGAGATTGGGAGATCAAGGCTTGGGGTATAATGGAAGTTACTTGTCCAGGTCCATGCTCATGAAATCAGAGGTAGAGCTTGGATTAGAATTTGGGAATCCAACGTTCCTTACCCTGGGGTGAGACCATTGGCCCACACTCAAAGTAACTTCACTGTGGTGGAAAGCTCTCCTATAAATAATACATATATTCCCCTCTCTTGAGCCCCAGAAATCTTTATGTAGCTCACAGATTTGTGTTTCACATCCATTGCCAGGCCTCCTCCAGGATTTGAATCCAGGCCAATCACACCCACAGGCCATTTAATGTGCATAGCCATAGCTACAGGCAGAGGAAGAAAAAGTTTGAAAGGACGTGAACTGTGAAGGTCCTGCTTCAGGGAGTAATCTAACCTCTAACTGATGGTGGATAGGAAAAGACTCGTATGCCACAATAATCCACTATGGGGTTTCTTGTCCTTCACACTGAATCAATTGGTACCAGACATTATTGGAGACAGGATAATGGGCTCGGTGGACAACAGGTCTGATCTAGTCTGCAAGTTCCTATGTTCCTCTCTCTCTATTTCCTTATGGTTTTATGGTATGGTTTTACAGTAGTGGTGGATGAATACCTAAAAAAAAAAAAAGAAAAATCTGCCCATCTCCATTTATAAATGAATTGGCTGTGGTGGTGCTCACATCCGTTAGTGTTTGCTTTTGCTGATATTCCAGCAAACATGCTTATTGGCCGGAATGGTCCTGGAAATAAGTGGTTTTAAGAGAGTATCAGAGAATACATGATAAATTCATGGAAGTTAAGTCCATTAATGGCTATTAGCCAGGATGGGTAAGGAATGGTGTCCCTAACCTCTGTTTGTCAGAGGGTGGAGATGGATGGCAGGAGAGAGATCACTTGATTGTTACCTGTTAGGTTCACTCCCTCTGGGGCACCTGGCATTGGCCACTGTTGGCAGACAGGATACTGGGCTGGATGGACCTTTGGTCTGACCCAGTATGGCCGCTCTTATGTTCTTATGTTTAATAATCTGTGCAAACCAAATTTGACATATTTGTCAACATGAATCTCAGCAACAGAAACCTGATTTTAATAGTTACACTCATCCAATCAGGGAAAGAAACAATGCCATGTGATCTATGTGTCTAATCAATACTAACCAGCACAGCTCAGTTTGTGGCTCTCTGAACCTCATCAGTTTGCTCATGGTGGGCCCATTTGAAAAATTATTCAGGGAATAATTTCAATAATTAATAAATCTGAGGCAATTGTAAACTGATCCTGGATAATTTGCAAACAGAAAAATAGGCAGAAGTCAGTATATAAATTAGTCTTTCCACCCTAAGTGGTATCCATCCACTGAGGGTACATCTACACTACAGGGGGGAGTCGATTTAAGATACGCAAATTCAGCTACGTGAATAGCATAGCTGAATTCGACGTATCACAGCCGACTTACCCCGTTGTGAGGACGGCGGCAAAATCGACTTCTGCGGCTTTTTGTCGGCGGCGCTTACTACCACCTCCCCTGGTGGAGTTAGAGCGCCGATTCGGGGATCGATTGTCGCGTCCCGACGGGACGCGATAAATCGATCCCCGAGAGGTCGATTTCTACCCGCCGATTCAGGCGGGTAGTATAGACCAGACCTCAGGCCCCACTTTCTACACACAAACTTGTATCAGTTTAATTTAACCAGTTTAGCTAAACCAGTCCAAACCCATAGTGTGGACACTCCAATGTCAGTTTAAGAGGGGCTTATTTAGATTTAGCTTAAACCTGTTTGTAATTGACTTAAATTAAACTGAAATAAGTCCAATTTAAACTGAAATAAGAATGTCACATAGCCTTTTCCACTAGTTTAACAACATACTAGAAGTTAAACTGGTTCAACTCTGCCTGTAGTGTAGACAAGCCCTGAGACCTGCCAAATACATTTAATACAGGCTACCAAAAAGGCAATACTAACATCACTTGCTTGCTACTAGTCAGTTGAATTTGTACTCATGTCCTACACTTGAAAGGTTTTGTAGCCCATGTCCACTCTGCCAAGCATGTGTGTGTGTATGTGTGTGTGTGTGTGTGTGTGTGAGAGAGAGCGAGCGAGAGAGAGAGCGCTTACCCAAAGCAATGAATCATCTTTCTCAACTGTCCATTTCAGACCCAAATTTTCCTCCCCATCTCACACTCGCCGGTATTATCTCAGTTTCTGTGCTCTAAATTAGCAACCCCAGAAATGCTGGCTCATGGAACTAAGATGACATCAAGTGTTTTTTACTGCAAAAGAGAACGATGACTTAGACTGGAAGTTCTTTGGGGACAGGGACTGTCCGTTTAGTATATGTGTACAGTGCTCTGCACAACGGTGATCCCTCTAGTTGCTACAACAATGATAAGACCCGAGTTTCCTGTCTCTGCCCCTCCTGACTTTCCTTGTATCATTACATTTGGGCTCCTGTCTTTTCTATTGTACACTCTTGGCTCTCAAATCAGTCACCCCCACCCCCAGGCAGCGATTCTAAGAGGTCAGTCGCTCTGGGTACCACTAGGGGTTTAGAGGAACCACGTCTGCTCATAGCTTGATACGTTCCATACATTAGAAAGTCTAGTAGTCACCCAACAGAGCCAGCACCTCCTCTCCTGGAGTGGCAAAGGCTCCTCTGGCTGTAGAGAGATTTGCAGGCAAGGCTCAGCAATGGGGACTTCTTGCTGCACCACCCCTCAAAGCTATTCCTCTGGAGGGCATTTGGGCAACACACCTAGGGCCTGTCGTAAGCTACAGAGGCGCAGCATCAAAATAACTCTCAATCTGCTTCCTCCATGGACCCAGGGCCACCTCAGGGCCACAGAGCTAAGGTCAAGGGGGCTGTGAAGCCACTAGATGGTTCCCCCTGGGGAGTTCCCCCAATTATATCAGAATTGTCCTTGGCTGTCAGTGTAACTGGATCTATGCCATCTCCCGCAGGAGCCCCGGGTGCCAGGGGCATTCCTGGGGGAGGGAGGGAGGCAGCTATCCCCTGCTGCAAATTAGGGCTGCTCTAACTTACACCAGGGACCAAACTATCCCCAAGCCCCTAACACAGGAGAGCAGAACGGATGAAGTAAAGCTGCTGTTGCTCCCCCATGGGCCCTGCCCTTTGTTGTGCTTAGCAGGCATGAATTTGGGCCTTTCTGTCTTTCCACCAGCTGAAAATCCCAGCATCCCCTTTGTCCTCAGGCCTGTCTCCTGTCACTGCACCATCCACCATCACAGCTGCATCTGTGATTTCACCCACTGGATTAATTTGCTGATCCGCCATCATATAAATTTCCCCTTGTGTCCCTCACCTCCCTGATCCCAGCTTTATCGAACAATGGCCGTGCCCACTGTTAAAGGCTTAATTAGCAGCAGGACACAATGGGAGCCACACACCAGCAGGGCCCACAACACGTGCAGTGAAGTTACACAATCAGGCAAGGACTTTTCAGAACATCGCCAGAGTCCTGTTCAACTACACAGTCTCTGTTACCCAGGAGCCTCTGGAGCCCCTGCCCAGACCCAGCACAACATTTTCTGTTACCCAGAAATCCCTGGGTTTGCTTCCTGGAGCAACCTCTATTGTTCATACTCTTGGTGCCTTTTCTGGGCAGTTCCTATGTGTTGTCCTACCATGCCTTGAGCAACCTAGAGTCTATAATATAAGCCTTTGAAGCGGGATACAATACTCCCTTTCCAAACTCCTTTTTAAGGAGGGTTTGCCACAATTCCTAGCCCTCCTCTCCTCCCCCACCTCTCATAAACATCTCTTTCATTGACAAAGGGGGAGCGAAGCATTTCTCAATGTTTCCCTGGGAGCCTGATGGGCACCCTGCCAGCCCACTGCTTGCCTGGGCCCTCAGCCCTGCCAAGACACTGTGCCAGGTGTGTTATGGAGTCCCAGACGACCTGGCTACCATCCAAACACAGCAAATCGCTCTTGCAGGGCTATCAGAGCCCTCAACGACACATGTTTACAAGATCCAAGTTCTAAATACACAGAGCTGCCCAGCCAGCCAGCTAGTGTGTCAGGAAGTGGAAGAAGAATGGAACTATGTTAGGAGCAGATGGACAACAACCCCTGGAAACATTATGGGGCCAGTTTGATACAGCTAAATCTGGTCTGAACTGTGATGTGTTTGTGGGTCATAATATAGCCACCACTAATTAGCCCTGCTATAGTGCTTTTCAGCCATAGACCTTAGAGGCGGGTAAGTA